AAAAAAATCTGAATGTCTACTTTAGAAGACATTCCTGACATTTATCTTCTTAAACCATGCTATTCTTCGTCATCAATTTAGTACAACATAAGCTACAGAAGTGAAGCAGCTTTACTTAAAAGAGGCAGGGGGTGGAGAGCAAAGGACAATTTATGGCATCCAGAAAATTAAATAAACCATCTTTCGAAAGAAGTAACAAGAGAGTAACACTTCTGTCTATTCACAACTTCACATCTTTAGCATTATAAGAAAGAGTGCAAAATTATCTTTCCTCCATTAAGTTTTTTTTAAATGTTAAGTGAGCCTTTACATATTGCAGAAAGATGCTAATCCAAAAGCAGAATTTTGCAGAAGCCACACTTAACTGAGTAATTCACACTACTATCATTTTTCTTTTATATTAAAAATTGACAAAATACATTGGCAACTTCTGATAAATGGAAAAAGTTATGCCTCACATAAATCATTATATTCACACACTTTTCTTTATTATGAGCAAATCAAATAAATAATGAAAATCTAAGAATATCCTTGTTTTGCTCTTCACACAGTTTCTGAAACTAGTGGTGGCATCTGTGCTGTCTATATCTGGTGCTCACCTTAAAGCTTAAAACTTGCCATTGCTGAAAATAAGTTTTTCAAAACAGATTTCAGATCAAACACTCTCTCCTAGACTGAGATATAGTCATCAGCACAGCACCAAACCTTTAAGCTGTGTGGCATTTCATTTATCTATTGAGCTGCCCTTACCGACAGCAGGTACAGTCTCACCCCATCCTATCTATATTGAAAAAAATATTAGCATTTTCGCAAAATAATTTCTCACACAGCAAAATGAGGTATTTTCCCTGGAAACTGAAGTCTACTTGCTATCAAAGTAGCACAAGACAAAGCCACTTCACACCCTTCTACCACAATACGACTGGGGATTGGCAAGGCCCAAACAAGTAGATGAGAGGTACTGAAGATCACAGTGATTATTAAATTTGTGGCCTTCTTGAAAACACCTAAATGGGGATATATGACAAACTAAGACCTCTCATTTGGAAGCAAGACTGTGACTACTTATTTTATGCCATTATACAGCCATCAACCGTAAACGCTTTATCATTCCTAGAGATTAAAGGGTCTATATCCCGTCGCCAGTGCTCCTAGTCAGTCAGTCTCCTGTGGGTATTTCATTTAGTGGAAAAACATTATACTACACTCAAGCATGACAGTCCTCATAACATACATACTGTTTGCAGGAGGAGCTGCTACACTTCTGCAAGCAAACAGTTACCAACGCAAAACATCCTTGCCACCTCAGAAGGGAGTAACGCCTTTGAATTTCCCAGGCCATCTGCAAGCAGCAGCAGCTGGTGGAACAGGGAGCTATTTCAGATGGAGAAAACGACATTTACTTGTCCCATCAAAATCTGTTCAGGTTCAGCTGAAAGAGGCTGTTCAACGGCATCGCCCTTCCCTGGCGTTGAGCAGGACAGCGCTGGCTGCCTGCCAAAGGAGCGACTGAGCACAAACCTTAAGGATCCTGACCCTTTGCTCCCAAAACACACCTCTACCATCGCTGCACGTAGGAGCTGCCAGAGGTGCTTTCAAAATTAAGGTTAAATGCATCCCCTCATCTTGGAAGCCTGGTGATAGAAGGGTATTTCTCCAAGCATTGCTCTTACGGCCGTTGGTCACCCTGGGGAACACAGAATGCTTCCGCAAGCCACGCAGCGCCTCGAGGGACGCGCCCACCAAACCCACTGGTATTTAGCTGTTTAGTTATTAGTTTATTACTGCACAACGTGTGAGGTCATTGCCACAGGGGCCAGGGAGAACCCAGTTCATGGGGTCAGTTCTCATACAGGATGGTTTTTATCTCGCATCTCATTTACCGCGCATAGTCACATGAACATACTGCATCTGGGGAGAGAAAGCAGTAAAAGGAGTCTTGAAAAACAACCTTTTTCCTATTTTCTGAAAGCTTGACTTGGATGCTTTGAAATTCTCCCTGTATTTTTCTCTAGACACAATATATGCCTACATGTATCTTAGTTATTTCTAAAATAGTCAGTTAAAAACAAATTACACAGAAATTTACATAAACCTGGGCTAATAAAGCCTAAGTATCACATATTTACCACCTGAACTGACAAACTGGCAGCAGTAATGATCTGGCTGGGCTTGTTTCCAAGCACCAAATGGCACTGCAGTGACCATAGTCTCCTCCACCTGCTTCTTCCAAATTCTGCCCTGGTCGAGGTAACAAATTCTTGTCTGTTCCATTACTCCCAAACTTCAGTTTTAGTGCTGGGCTACAAAATACAGACTTAAGACTTCAAAATGAGCAGGCTTCTCCACTTCTATGATCAAATTTGTAACCCAGTCTCAAGCATCTTCCCCAATACTAATCACTTGTCCGATTAGCCTTACTGTTCTCCTGGTCCTGCTTGCTCTTCCAGATACATTCTCTCATCCCTACCACGTCCTTCACTCTGCCCAGTTGTTCCTAATCCCAGCATGGACCCAGCTTCTCAGTTCCTTGACTCAAAGCTGGTCATCTTGTCTTGCGGTAGCTGGTCAGGAGCTCCCATTTACCCGACCCAGACCCTGCCTTTCTTGCCTGTACACTTAGTCCAGGCAACTTCCCCTCTTTTTCCTGCCAGGGAAGAAGTAGTAAATGAGAGCACCAGGGAAAAAAGATCTTATATTTTAAATAAACACTTCTTCATAGCAGCTTTCCCTCTCCTGCCAACCCATATCATCATTACTATGCCCAGATCTACCTCATCCCAAAGCAGCCCTGAACTGCAAATGCACAGCAGGTCCTGTTGAGTTTCACCCAGCTCTTATGTACTGAAACATCCTCAGTGCAGCCAAACTCCATTTTCTTCCTTGAAAAACCAAACAATAATAAAACATTTCTAAATAGCTTACTTGGGCATAACAATATTTTTTAGGAAAATGTCAACTAAAATGATTCAAACTGAGGCAGGCAACCAGCACATCTTGATTCAAATCACAGAAGTCCAGTAGTACTACATGCGCTGAGAGCAGCTTTGTATTTCCTATCATTAGCAAACTTTAAACCCTTATGAAATAAGCTTTAGTTAAGTTTTAGAACTGAGTAATATAAAGTTATTTTAGATCTAAGAAAGGTCGCACTTTTTAAAAAATAAGATTATAGTTTATTTACCAAAAAAGAAAATACAGAAACCAATAATCAGTAAGATATTTTACTGTTAAAAATATAAGCAAGGCTGATTTCAAGCTCTCTTCAGCACCAAAGGTATTCATCTGTCTTAATTTAAGAAGCAAATATTTACTGTCCTCTAAATACTTGAACTGATTTTAAGATAAAATAAACAATTATCCAACTGTTATCCAAAAATCCCAACAAATGCCCACTAAGATACATTGGGAAAAACGGTTTTTGCTCTATTTTTATTAGTCGTATATTTCATACAATTATATCCCAAAACACAAGTTCGAGTCAAAATAACTCCAAAACAGTCCAATAAAATCAGAGTGAGAAGGAAATAGCTGAGGTTTGGAACTCTTCCTATTTATTGGCCTCTCTTTTTTCCCAGCCCTCACAGTTAAGAATTCTGGGGTTTTTTTCCACTTACTTTTTAAGTAAGATTCCAGTTAAAATTTGAGGCTGAGAAGTTTCTAAAGATCACAAGTATTTTCCAATCCTAAACCCCTCCTCCTCCATTTCACGTTGAAAGTAACATGAAGATTGTTTTACACCCTACAGTGAACACGAGTTGTCCCTCACTGTCAGGATTCAGGAGTGCTGAAAGAATGACCCTTCCCTGCCAGAGCGCTTACTCCACACACAGCGAGACACAGGGTTGGGCTTTTCGAAAGATAAAATTTTCAAAAATGGCAAAACTACACAAGTATGGCTGATATAAATCATACCACAGTAAAGCTCCATGCTATACAGACAACTGAGTATCACAAAGAAATACCAATTCATTTGAACACTGAACAGATTTAAACTTTATGCATATGACATTTTGAATAACTACTAAAATATGACTGATCACATTTCTTGGCTGATAAGCAAAGGCCAATCATGCAAAATTAATTGCAAAGACATTTGTTATTTGCAGAAAAATGAATTACCAATATTTGCTTCTAAAAAAAGGAAATTAGTTTTATTCTCTTCCTTCTAACATCCACGAAAAAGACTGACCTCCGCTTTTTCCTAAACCAGCTTTGTTTCTTCTATCCCTAAAGAGTGAAATAAAATTCTGCCCTAAGTTACAGTAACACAAGTGGGGGGAAGCTTGTATTCCCAGATTTCACATTGCTGAGATTTTTCTTCTGAAAAACCTTTCAGGACAATTCCAACAGGAATTTGATTGTGTGATGGATTAATTTCATATACTATGTGTGAAGCTAAAACTCTATGGTTCAGTCAGAGCTACTACTTCCAGACACAAGTAAACTTTTTTTTTTTAAAGAAAATATGTAAACACTGGTGGATATTTTTCTAAGTTATGAGGTGCTTGTCTATTATTCTGAAATCCATTACATTTTTTTTTTTTTTTCAATTTAATAGGAATACACTAATACTATAACTTCAACTTTTACTTATGACAAATTCTAATTGTCCTAAAAATAGTACAAAGTAATGTAACAATTCTCCGTTAGTTGAAGTTTTTGAGGGTGGTAGTTGTTGGTTTTTTTGCTTAACAATAGTTAAGCTATAATTC